TATATATATATATATATATATATATCTATCTAAATATATATATAGATATATACATATAGATATTATGATATATAGATATATCTAGTCGGATTTCTAGGCGTACATGTGCATGCATATGTACATCTGGCTAGTGTGTGCTCATGTTTCAAAAGAAGTTTACGTACACACAGGAGTGGTTGAGTGGCTTGGTACTCCCATTTATATGAAACTTGGTTATGACACCCTTATTTCGTCTTACCCCCGATTCATGTCAACGCTTTCAGGTTTCGGGTCATATAAATCGCCATGCAAACTGATACACAATGTTAATCATTTCTCCTATTCTTTTACGCGTATTGCCTTTACAGAGGGGGTATACCAAGGTTAAATGGTGCATGCACTGTGACCAGAGCCATCGGGGATGTAGCTCTGAAGCAGTTGGGAATGATCGCCAATCCCGCCGTACAATACAGACAGATCTCCAATAGCAGTAAGTTTGTCAGACCCTTAGTTTCAGTGGGCACCTGTGTGTACTCAGGGTATATGCGTATCTTGAAATTCATTTGTATGTACCTGTACTTTTAAGTATTATATAGAATATGTATGAATAGATACATACGCATAGTATATAGAGTATGTATAAAGGGATACATATACATAGGATATACATGAATAGATCTGAAATTGCGTGCCACGAACAATGGCCTGTGTTGACTCAGTTTCCCGTCTTATCGTCCGCATGACGTGATGTTATACCACACAGAACTCTGCGCCACCAGTACACTTGTCATCGTCATGCCGTACAAGGTAGTGGTATTCGACTCGATGTATCCCTGCCGCATTTACCGCCAGATATCGTTTCACTCATCATCTGACATATTATTCTCCATTTCTTGGCATGTAGACGGATTCTTGCTTCTGGGGACCGATGGATTGTTTGATGGCATGGATTGTGAATCTATATTTCAAATGGTTAAAGGATCCAAGCACCCCTCCGAGGCGGTTCGGCGAATGGAAGTGGAGGCTGAGATAGGTATGGACGAACAAGTTGAAAGATTCATGTGGGCATGTATAAGTATATGTAAATATATATA